TGCCTTTTTACTGCCAGATGGCTCGGGGACTTTGTTTGAACTCCCCTCAGAGATCTCTTCGACTCTGGAATGAACCACATCAACTATCACCGGCTCGACAGACTTCGAAGCACCGGTGTTTCCTCTTTTACGAGCTACCAAAAGATAATCGTCATCTTCTTCTTCTTTTTCTTCCTGATCCTGAAGGCGTTGGGCCGTTTCAAGAGATAAGGCCACCGTATCGACCTTGGACTTTCGAGCCGTAATTTTCTTGGGCTTCGAGGAATTTGCAGGTGGCTCCCTTTTTCTTTTCTTTTCTTTAGAAGGTTTCGGGATCTCTTCTTCACCAGCCGGGGCCGGCCGCATAGCAACGACGTCTCCAAGACCTGCACAAAATCGAAGTAAGTACTCCACTTAGAAAATACAAGTAAACAAACGGAAGAACTCACCATGATTTTTGGCCTCCCATCGGCCTTTTGCTAAATCTCGCCAGCAACGCTCCGAATAAGAGGAAGTGGAAGCCAATTTTCGGACCCAGCCTTTGAGGTCCGGGACCCCGCCAGGAAACCAAGCAGTAGCTACGCCATTGGAAAGGGGTTAAACCAATGGGAAAGATAAAACCGAGAAAAAGAAAAGAAAGCGGGGTATAAACCTATTGTGTACTTACGTTTCATGTTCCACTCCTCGGGGGACGACTTCCATTCAGCAGGAATTAGGTCGGAGGTCTTGACTCGGACAAACCGGCTCATACACCCTCGGTCTTTATCCTAATCAATACTAGAAAAGAGAGATTTCAAGGATCGGCATTGCAGTTTTATCAAGCCACCGTGATAAAGTCGAGGACTATACAGTCTGATCAGATGGTTGAAGGTGAAAGGCATCCCCTCGACCTGACTCGAAAAGAACTTGATCAAATGAACGATTTGCCAGAACGAAGGATAGATCTGGCCAAGCGTCACTCGGTACCGTTGGCAAAAGTCGAGAATAACTGGATCTAGGGGAGCCTGAGTTGGAATTGCAGGGACCAACATGAATGGGTAGGTATACACGCTTAAGTACCCCGCTTTATATGTAGTGATATCCTCCTCGGGGGAATGGATCACTACTTCTTTGTTCTCCCACTTGCAATCCTCCTTAACTTGAGCGAGCTCGTCCTTGGTTATCAAACTGACATATCGAGACATGGGCTTGCATTGGCTTGGTGTTGATACAGGCTTCTCGTTCTTGAAATCGGATGTTATTTCGCATGGCGGAGGAATGCACTCCTCAATACAAAGGGGCGCTACCGATTTATTATTGGACGATCGAGAAGATGAAGAAGCCTTTTCTTTTTGGGGAACCGATCTAGAGGTCTTAGCCATTATAATGTGGAAGTTCAAGAAAGTGGAGAATGTCGATAATGAAGTGAGGGCTAATAGAAGAGAAGAAAGAATTCGGAGAAATTGAAAGAACTAATGAGGTTTTGAGAACAATATGAGAATAAAATTTGCAAGATTGTGAAGTTTATCTATTTATAAAGGTCATTTAAGCGTACTAAGGAAGCCAAAAGGCCGACTGTCAGTCGCCTCCAATCAATGACTTTGGGAACCGCACGAAAAGCAACCTTTTCAATCACTTCAACCGCTGATGTCACGAGATTGGCATCAGGATCGAGGCGTCAAAGATCAATTTATTTTTTACCAATCTATTTCGAGTTCGAGCAAAGTGTCCGCTCGACTACTAAGCCCAAGGGCTACCCGAGTTTGGGAAATTTCTCACTCGGGGACTACAATAAAGCCTAAGGGCTAACTTTATTTCAAGATTCGAGCAAGTACTCGCTCGATTACTAAGCCCAAGGGCTACCCGAGTTTGAAGGAAGTTCTCACTCGATGATCATCTACGAAGACTAAAGGTTAACTCTATTTTCGAGACCTAGCTGTCACTTAGATCGGACTCAGGAATCCTAATGTTCCGAGTTCACATCAAATCGATCTAAGCTCAGCTCGAGGATTAACAAGAGCCTTAAGGGGTATTGTATTGACCGATTAAAAACCAAAGGGTTTATTATGTCTCGAGTCCGGTATTCGGACTAGTCATTAAAGTTATACAATCAAATTTTTCACAAGTAAAGACAGAACGGAATTCAACATGAGCCAAAAGGAAGACAAAGGTATCTTTTTATATTTCCAAGAGATGGTTACAAAATATAACTACAACACCCACGAAGGGTACTTACACAGGATTAGAGAAGCAAAAAACAAAAGTCAAAAACCTAATCTACTTTTAAGGCCACGTCCTCGAGAGCATCATCTTCGAGAGCCTCCTTCCTGGGTACCCCGTTTTGACCGTTGGAAATGTCTTTGTGCCCGAAGAGATTTGAGGCAGAAAGTCTTCGATAAATGTAACTATATTTCCAGCGGCGGGGATTGAACGTTCTGTTGAAATTTTTGGCCGTAATCCGTTAAAAAAGAGCAGCAAAAGAATAAGACTAGAAGCGAAGACAAGCAGGTGTAGCTTCGCCTTCTATCACAAGAAAACCCAAAAAGGTTGCAAGATGCACGAGTCACGATCCAAGAATGTTCATCCTTGGGATGTTGTGCCGATGAGGGATGCAAAAGTTAGTAGATGATAGTGCCACCTCATTCCATGGAAAACAAAAGGAATGAAGCGCCACACTAGGTTGAAGTTAAGAGAGATGAGCAGCAGGATAAAGTTCGCATATTTCCTGATGTGGGAAGGATCCTGCGCCCTTCTCTCGTTGTTTCGAATCGAAGCTTTGAAAAGGGAAGCCTTAGCGTAACTGGTAAAGTTGCTGCCCTGCGACCTTATGATCGCAAGTGCGGACCATAGGGAAAGAAATAAAGAAAATAAAGAATCAGAATGAACGAAGATGAAATGCGTACAGTTTTTGTTCAACAGAATAGCCTCATATTTATAGAAAGGCGACGGCAGTTCGGCGGCGCTAGTGGCCGACCAACACTATCACGCATTTAATGTTTTGGGGAAGAACGCCGACGTGACATTTTCGGTCATTTCAAGCTCCTACGTCACGGGCGTGACGTCATTATGAGAAGCTTGGGGAAATCGAGGTGCAAATCGTTTCTTATCATCTTATTTAAGAAACACGGGGACTATCTGTGTACAGTCAAAATCATATGCCCCCGATTTATAAGCTCGAGGTTCCGCCCTAGGCCCAAGTCCGGGAGAGGTCAAGTTCGAAACTGGTGGACCAGACTCGAGCTCGAAGACAGAGTGTAATGCCCGGAGACAGGAGCTCGAGGAATACCGAGGCCAAGTGTGCTCAACCCCGAAATAGTACCGTTGTGGATTTGTAACAGAATGAGCTAGATTCCTGCCACGTTCCTAAGATCATGGCGCAAATTCCGGAATAAGATCGAACAATTCCGTAGTAGGCGGTTAGACAGTTGTAACAAGAATATTCCCTACTGTAAATAGAAATATTCCTTATTTCGGTTTCCCCTATTATAAAAAGGGAAACCCCAATCATTTGTAAGACCATCTGATCACTGAGAATAGAATATGCTCTACCTTTTTCACCTGCTTCTCATTAGCATATTCCTTTAGCTCTATTGTTCTTACTTTGCTTTTATAATTGTTCTTATTATACCAAGCCTACCTCGAGGTCCCTGTGCTCGAGGTCACTGCTGTTGAGTAACATTGGTTTGATTCACCTTTCTCTTTCATTTCCACTTCATATTTCTTGATTATTCATTGGTATTGAATTAAATGATGTATCTTTAAAATCACAAATCAAATTTAATTGTTACTCGTATTTTCGAGGTAAATAGTATACTAGTATTATGGCAACGTGAAAATTGTATTCTTATCCCAGAAATACGATTAGTCAACGCGTTAGAACGTTTCAAATGAGAAAGACACAGTGAAATCATGGATGGTAAAAGTGGTAGTCTGCCGCTGCCAATTGCAATGCCTGAAAGCTGGAAATGCGAGAGAATAACAGAGGAAATTAAATGCAGAAGAATTTGTAGAACGATTAGAAGATGACGTATGCAAATGAAATTCGAGAGAAATAAGAAGAGATGAACAGATTGTAATGCTTAACTGATCTTGTAAAAGGGTGCGATTCCAGTTCAGTAGTGTAGTTTGGATAGGGGAGCTGATCATGGGTTTGATGATTGTAAACTCAAAATGGATTCAGCCATTTCTTGAAAAATGAAATCGGAATTTGGATAGTTAGTTGCTATTCTGTGTAGGAGATTGGGTAAGGGATTGATCTACGACTGTTGTTGACAGATAAAATTTATAAATTTGTCTCAAGTCTTTCAGCAGATGGCCCATTAGCTCAGTTGGTTAGAGCGTCGTGCTAATAACGCGAAGGTCGCAGACCTGCATGGGCCATTTAATCCTTTAAAAGTTGAAAACATTACATGCATTTTTCTTTTCACGTCTGCAGCTAACTCTTCGTGCGTTTGAAGTCGACCGTTTTAGTAATGCTTTTTGTCCCACTAACTATAGACAATATAAAATATGTCGATGGAGATATCCAACCTCATAATTATACTCTTAATGAAACTTTTTTATTTTTTCAAAAAAAATATTTTAAGTTAAAGGATAATTGACCGAACTTCTCTGTTAGCTGAACTTTTATGAAAGAAGTTTCTATAAATCGTAGCTCTACACTTTGCAATTCTTAATTGGAAAAAAGTAGGACTAGAAGAGCCTAACTATAAGTCACTGATTGTGACTCACACCTAAACCTTCAGAATAGGTTCGGCAAGCCAAAATTCAAATTCATGTTTTCTTGTTAGTAATTAAATAAAAGTTTCCTTGAACTAAAAACCAAATAAAAGTAGAGAAGCATGAAATGCAGTACTAAATGCCTTTTTTATATTATTATTATTAAATTACGTACTACTTGTAATAGAGTACTAAATGCCTAAGCAATGACAAATTAAAGCCTTCATAGTCAATGTGAACACAAACTACTACCTCTTCCTTATTTTTTGCTTCTAGAATAATTATATAAACCTCTATTTTCAGTAAGTGTCAAAAGGAAAGAAGCTGAACGCGCCTTTGACCAGATAGGAGAAATAAAAAGAGAAAAATCGTACAAATCAATTCCTAATTCTTCCAAAAGCGTCCACGGTAATTTCCCCATCCCTATTCCCTTCAACTTTCCTCTTTATAATACCAAAAAAGAGGGTCAAATCATTTAAGCCCAATTCTTCATAATTACCTAATAGGAGCAAAGGCAGAAGGAGGAAAGGGTGAAGGAAAGGATGGAAATATTTGACTTAGAGAAGCAGTTTGCATTTTATGGAGCATACCACAGCAACCCAGTGAATATCTTGATTCACATGGTTTTTGTGTGGCCAATCTTTTTTACCGGTCTTATTCTTTTCGATTTTACGCCCCCACTTTTCAATTTACCTCCGATTCAGCTCTGTGAACACAGCTCCTTGGTCCTTAATTTCGGGTTCTTGTTTGCTTTGGTTTATGCAATGTTCTACGTGGCTTTGGACAAGAAAGCTGGCTCTTTGGCTGCTTTGCTCTGTTTTGTTTGTTGGGTTTCCAGTAGTATGGTTGCTCGTCAATTGGGCTTCTCTCTCGCCTGGAAGGTAATTGGTCTTCTCTCCTTTTCTGTTGATTTTGGTATTTCACTATAGTTTGTTTCTTTATTTCCCCTAAAACATATTGAGCACTTGTAAGTTTGCGGGTTTATATGAGATGGCCAATTGACGAATTAGCTTTAGCCTTTCTCAGCTTAAATTCCAGATTTACCTCTTTATTTGTTTTCTTGATCGTTCAGTCTATTTACCAGCAACTGGAGTCTCAGGGTTTCACCATATTCTAACCAAATTTTCAGCCTATTTGTCACATTAACCCCGTTGTTTATGTTGTGTAAAGACAAATTAAGTCTTTCACGTGGTTCCTTTGTTCGCCAACTATAGTACTTGGAATCCGGTTCCCCCTTGATTAACATATATATCCTGCACATGAATTGCTTGATCTCTTACTGTTGAAGAGCACCCCTCGCTCAATTACTTCCCCGCACCCCTTCAATTAATCAATCAATCAGCTAAATCTCAACCCCGAAAACTTGGAGTAACTACACGAACCCATTGAATCTATTTCGCCCTAATCGGATTCATTTCATTCTTATATTAAATAAGTTGCCTTTTACGGTAAATCATGGGTTCTCTATATGTCAGAGACATACTAAGTTGCGCGGACTCTTCGCTTTTGGTGCCGCACCCGTCTCGACACGACACGGGACGGGTGCGGGATACGTCCCGGATTCGGTCAACTAACTTCGGATACTTTGACCCAAGTCCATCGACAAATTTAAGGGAAAAATTGATATTTTGATTTCTCAAAATTAAAAATAAACAGATTTAAGACATGGGAAATGGCATACCTTCAATATTGTAGAACTTTTGTCTCATATTTGCTGCTTTGTGTTTCCGAAAAACCAAGAATTCAAGGGGTCGTGTTCTGGGATCGGACTTCTGGTAGACAGTAGCAGCGATATAGGTAGAGAGTTGGTGGATGGCCTTTATCTTTAGATTTATAATATCTTTATAGTTCTATTTTTTATAATTTTGAATTTTCTTAGCCGAATCATGGCACCTGTATCCATACCTGGATCCGCACCCCCCGAATCTTAAAATTTAGATTTTGTCGAATCTGACACTCGGATCCGTGCCCATATCGGATACCCGCACCCGAGTCCGAGCAACTTAGCGGACATACAATCAGGAATAATTCCTAATTAACCCAACTGGTTAGTTAATGCAGGAAGGAGAACCAGAAACAGGTTAAGGGAAATGAATAGAGACAATCTTTTATGAGCCGAAGAAAACTGGGGACTCCGCTAATTGCACTTGGCAATCTTAAGTTTTGCTTGTTTTTGTATCTATTGTTGTTTATGGATTCCATGCACTTGTTTCTTGTATCATCAAATAAGCTAAGGCAGTCATTTAGTTGCTATTCCGGGATACACAAGTACTCCCTCCGTCTCAAATTATCTGTCTTGACTTCTAAAAATAATTGTCTCAAATTATTTGTTTTTTTAGAAGTTCAATAAAAAATTAATTATATTTTTTCCGTTTTACCCTTAATAGTAATTGTTCTTGAAGATGGAGATAGCACATAAATAGAGTAAATATTCAATAAAGAGAGATTATATCTTAAGACATAAATAAGAGTAAAATAGTCCAAAACCCCTCCTGAATTAATGTTTTCTTTAGGGGCGTGTCAAAGAGAAGTACGACAAACAATTTGAGACGGAGGGAGTAGCAATATAAAGCTCAAAGTAGCAGTACACATAACACTATTGGTACTAATGTGACACCATTTGAAGGTCTAGTCGTTAAGCTGAATTTGCTTAGCAATTTCACAAGCTTCTGGCAATAGTAGTATGATAGTATCATGTAGCTACCATGTTGTGTCCAGTAAACACTACATGATAGCTACATGCCATATTGCCTGCGCCAGTCTGCATTTCTCAAAATCAGTGTTTTAACTCAATATTGTTGCTGGTAAACTGGCTGTGTATGTTTTTTCTCCTCTCTTACTTTGAACTTGTACCATGGACACAACGTATCTTGTTGAGTCTCACATCGGTTGGGAGTTAACAAATGGGCCTCCTTATATGGTCTTGGGCAATCCTCACAAATGGGCTTCCTTATATAGTCTTGGGCAATCCTCACCTCTTGAGCTAGCTTTTGCAGTTGAGTCAAGGTCCATTTCTTTAACATATCTTCTGATTTTTGGTCATTTATCTTCATAAATAGTTTGGTTTGGATGTGTTCGGGTCTTCTATGTGCGTCAATGATTTAACTCCTGGACTTCTTAAGACTAGCAGTTCTTTCAGGTTGATAAAAATAGCCTTTTGTTGTTTGGTCATATTAGATTTAATCAAACTTGACCGTCATCTATTTGTCACTAGAGGCCAAGAACCAAACACATCAAAATTTCATATGAAGTGGATACAGATGTATAATGCATGATCTCTTTGGTTGGAAATACTTTTGGATATGTCTAGTTATTCTGAATCAAGTATGTGAGCTGTTGGTGCTAACTGTGACAAACATATGTGGCCAGGTTGTTCTAGCGGCTCAGTTATTCTGCTGGACTGGACAGTTTATAGGTCATGGAGTGTTTGAGGTGATCATTTTTAGTAATTTTATGCATGATTCTCAAAGCTTCCATTAATTTGGTTGCATGACATTGTTGTTCAATTTTTGTAGAAGCGAGCACCTGCTCTGTTGGACAATCTTACACAAGCGTTCCTTATGGCACCATTTTTTGTACTCCTTGAGGTAATAATACTAGTTCTATGTTAGGACACAAGTGCTTTCAGTGGTTGCATTGGATCTAATCTTTTCGTGACTTATTGGTTCCTCACAGGCCCTCCAATCTCTTTTCGACTATGAACCATACCCTGGGTTTCATTCAAAAGTGAAAGCTACGATAGATGCTGAAATCAAAGAATGGCAGGAGAAGAAGCAGAAAAAAATATCTTAAGTTGGAACGTGTGATGCTGTTATCTATTCTAATTGTATCTGTAAATGAAACGAAGTCAGGTTCGCATGTGAACTGCTTATGTACACGTTAACTTGGTTTTTTGTCGCTAAAATTGAAAACTTGGTTTTGTATACATCCTTTAATAAATCATTGTTTTTCAAAACGCTATTCGCTTGTGGTTTCATGCACCATGTGATGATGGATTCGTCGGTTTTGATGTATGATGCATCTAACCAGTTATGAGGGACTCTGCTAGATGTGATATGAATTACCTACTAAATCCCACTTTACACGCTCCGTGTAAATCCATGGGATTTTGATGCTAAGCATCCTAGAGGGCTCTTTAATTATTTGTAGTTGGTTATAATTTCTTCCCTGAATTGAATTTTTTTTTTCTTTTTTCTGTATTCTGCTAACTGATTTTTTATAGGTATAATTTCTCATAAGATATTTGTCAATTAGACCCAGATATGATTGTCCTCTTTTAATAAGATGGGTTATAGGCGCACCTACTGTACCAGTAGTCCATAATTGAGTAAACACTCTCTTCTCTCATTTACTTAGTTGTTTTAACTTTCTCCAAGAACGTAACAAGCTTCATGGGCTCAGACCAGTTCAAATTCTGTTTTGACTGTCTCATCTTGCCCGTGCTTGTTCGTGTTACGTACAGAAGGAAGAGAAGAATGTGTAGTATCTCTCTTGTTCGTGATACTTCTCATCTTTCAGCAGGACTTCAGGAGGCTCTGTGTTGGGAATTCCTCTTCAACCCAGATTTAGCCCCTTTGATAAAATGAAGCTTGCCTAAATTCTTTCACTTTCATTACAAGCGTCGCATGGTTAGACCTACAGCCTTATTCGTCTAGAATTTCCAGTAGAATATTAGCAGGGGACGTTTTGTGGACTTTCCTGCTCGTTGATCCATTGGCCTGAATGCGCACTCATGTTAGCTAGAAGAACATAATGACTGCCATTATCTGGTTCCATTGTGTTCCACTGTGAACCCAACAAGCAGCCAACATTGTTCTCCAGATGATTTCATTGCATTTTATGGGCATTCTGCTAACTGGATCATTATTAGCCTCTGCAACAAAACAATATATCAACGATATTCCATATATAAGTTCCATAGTTGGTTCAATGTGACATGCTATAAAAAGGCTTTCTTCCTTCTTCAGCCATCCCACCATGGCTGCCTACATGCACACAAGAGTCAAGACACCCAAGAACCAATTTGGAGATGGACTTGTTCAGAAACTGAGGTAGCATGACCCATATAGCCTGCTCTGAGACTGCTCAAAACATGATACATTTTGCCAATGAAATAGAGGCTCTGGTTTAGCCCTGTTCGGATAATTTGGGCATGGTCTTGTTCCATCGCTTTCAAGTTAGTATATTTATTGAAAAGAAATAAGCACTGCTCTTTGGTTATGATTAAGTGTATTTACAATTTATGGGTGGACTAACTATAACCAATTTCATTTACAGAACTAAAGTAGTGGAAATAATCTTCACTGTTGTGGTATTGGTATTCATTTACATTTGCGTATTGTTCTTAGATAAACAAGAAAATATGACAATTATTCTGGTTGAAGTAGGGAAAAGGAAGGATTATATTTACTTCCACCATTGGAAGTATTTAGTATCTTAAAAAAAGATTCAAGAATTTATCCATACCCTATTTTCCCACTATTTAAAAAGGGGAGATACTCCTTATCCATAGCTCCTGTTTATTTCCTTCGCTGCAAGTCTGCAACGCTACCTCTAAATCAGAGGTGGACCTACCCTTTGGGTAGAGGGGTCACCGGCCCTGGGTAACTTCAGAACAAATGTATGTATATAAGTGTATATATCTTAAATAACATGTATATACTTTATTTCATTCGCTGCTACGCTACCTGTAATCATCCCAAAGTCCCAATCAGATATGTCTAGGCTTTGATGTCCTACGATGATGGAAGGTCTCCTCATATTACAACTTATAAATCCCATCCAATTGGCCAATTGTGACATAGAGACTGTTACGTCTCAAATAGCAGTTGTTTTGGATTTGTTCTTCTGTCGCAAAGTGAAATGTACAGAAAGTGGCAGTGAAGGGAAGCATCAGCAGGGCCCAGGATTTAGATGTTGTTGTTTTGTTCTACTTAATCATTTCTCTATCTGGTGACTTCACAGGGATAATTAGCTAACCAGCCCACTTTAATCATTGTTATCATTCTTGTAGATTGTGTTTTAAGCAACAAATGATAAGCTAGCTTTTAATCTCCGGCCAAGGAAAAAATTTGGGTCGTTTGGTTCATGTAATATGTAGGGATCGATAATAATGAAGAGATTGTTTAAGCAATGTGGAGTTTAATGAAGCCAACTAAATACCGTGTTAAGCTATGTGACGATTATTTTCTCTTCTGTGACTAACCAAACATTTTATAAAATATGCAGAATTTTATGCTGTGAATATTTTAGTTAATACGGTAAACAGTTTACTCTGAACATTTTCTCATTGTTATCAAATTACATCCAATTGAGCATTGAACCTGTCTCTAGTGTTTGTTGCCTTATTCAACATTAGCAATATGTTTCTCTGCAGCCTCAACAAGAAGATTGCAATGAGTTTTCTGCCTTGGTTTAAATATTTCTGCGTCAGACTAAAATCTTGCTATTTGTTAACAAACTTTTGTAATCCTAAGAAGTAAAGAAGAACTAATAACACGGTGATGATACACACACAGAGTTACATACCATGACGCAAAGACAAGGACAAAAACAAAAACAAATTAAAATCAATGACAATGACCAGCAACTTTTCTTTTGTTTTTAGGCACAAAAAGAAGGGAGATAAAGCTGTGACCCAAAGAAAAGGGCCAACCCGGATATTGCACGTTTCTTGATTAAGCCACAAACTAACTTGAAATGACTTTAAATATATACTCATGGAATAAGAAAAGGGCAAAAAAGGATCAATCATATGATAACTACTACAAAAATATCCTAAAACCTAGATAAGAGTAGACATCAGAAGAGTAATTAGGAGGCGACATTCTTGTATTTTTGTTTTGTTACCGACATTAAAGATTTCGTGCGAAACAAAGCAAACTTTTGCATGACATGATTAATGGGTCATGATCTTCCGCCATTAATTCCTCTAAGTAGAAGCTTTTTCCCAAACTGGTTTGTATATCATGCATAACTAGGGCATGTAAGCGTAAAGAATTTTTATATGTCAGGTCACTCAAAGATGTTTAAAGGTAATCCTAGGGGTCACGGTTCAGTTTGGTTGGTTTTTTATTAAAACCATAACTAAACCAATTATCGGTTTTCAAAATTTTAAAATCAAAACCAAACCAAATTAAATACAAATCATTGGTTTGGTTTGGTTCGGTTTTTTCGTTCTTAGCAAGCTAATGATAAATCGATAATAGTAAAACGACACTAGATAACAATCTGAAAATAATTTGGTAAATTTATGCTTTTTTATATATTTCTTTCAGAACTGAAAGTTCATTTACCTGTTTATATGAAAAGAACAACCAAAAAACTAACTAAAAAGTAGACCAAAGTTGCATCTTAACAAAAAGAAAGTGCCAATAGTTCCAAGTAAAAAAAAAGAACTTGCAATTTTGGGGTCATAAGCCATAGCCAACTATGAAACATGGTAATATGCACATAAGATCTACAAGTTAAAAGTTTTGATATTAGAAGATTGAAAGATATGCCAAATGAGCAATATTTTAAGTACTACAGGAGCATAAATTCAAATATCTACAGAGATAGTTCTTTTAACTATTTATATTAGAAACTGTAGCACAAAGATATAAAGCAGAGTATTAAAATTGTAGCAACAATATAAGATAGAAAAATGTACCAGGTGCACTGTCACGACCCAAAAACCGACCCGGTCGTGATGGCGCCTATCGTAAAACTAGGCCAGCCAACTTATTTCCAAATACTCCATATTTCGATTAAAACTTAAGTAAAACCATATTTTTAACAGAATTCCGATAAAAGATATAAAGCAAAAATCAAAACAAGCGGAAAATACACCCCAACCTCGGGTGTCACTAAGTCATGAGCAAAATACTACAACGGTTCGAAAGAAAACAAGACTAACATAGTCTGAGAATAGCCGACAAAATACACTAAAGGAAGATAAAGAAGGAGAAGGCGGGACTGCGATCGCCAGGCAGCTACCTCGCTATCTCCAAGGAAAAGTCCACCACTGAAATGATCAACAACCGCTACCGTGACCCGAGATACCTGGATCTGCACACAAGGTGCAGGGGGGTAACGTGAGTACACCAACTCAGTAAGTAACAAGTCCAAACTATGGACTGACAGGTAGTGAAGAACCAAACCTCAACAGGTAATATCATTTAACTGTGCAAAAGTAGGCATGCTTGCAGTTCAGGCAAAAACTCAACAGTAAATAAATGCACTCTGAACGGTACGGAGTAATAAGCTCAGGAAATCTCTATGTACCAATGCACAGATAGCATGATCAATGTTCCGTGTACCTCCACTCACAAGTGCTCAACCACTCGGTACTGTATATGGCCATCCGGCATAGGGAAGATCCATCCCGGAATATATATATATATCACTGACCGCAGTCATCCAGTATCGAGGAAGGCTATTCCAACCCTATGGAGAAGATCCATCTCCAGGTATAAATACTTCAGTCAAGATCCATGTCCAGGGAAGATCCATCCCTCAATATCATCAACTGCGCTCACTGGGGGTGTGTTACAGACTTCGGAGGAGCTCCTACAGCCCAAGCGCTATCATAATCATACACAGCCCGATCCCATATACTGTCACTCACAACCAGGCTCTCGGCCTCACTCAGTCATCACTCTCCGGTCTCAGACACACGGGCTCACAATGTCATGATACTAGCCCGAACAATGATATGATGTGCCAAATAACAATAATTGAGACTGAGGCATGATATATAATGCATGAACAGGAGTGAGTACAGAATATCAATGAAGATAATGATATGACAACAAGAAACGACCTCTCGGGTCTCAACAGTATCAGCGTGAAGCCCTAACATGATATCTAGCATGTTTTCATAGCACATTTACTTAGTCACATGATAGAAACACAGATATCAACAGGAAAGAGTAACTAAGCGGTGCCTTGGAGTGATCCAGGCCGCATTTCTCACGGTG